ATGACGGAAATCTTCATCTCGTAAGTTTGTAGTACTAAATTAAAAGACGTATTTACAATTTTGTGATTGCAGTGAAAAGCAGAGTACATTTCGAGTTATGCTTGCATAAAAGATCGCGTGAAGCACCAGAAAATGCCTAACGAATTATTCAAATTAGTCGTGATATCAAAACCTGATCAAAGATCCTTATCCTGATAAGGCGCGCGTCGAAATTCATCTATAGAGTGTTATCTGCTGGTTAGTATTGGTTTACTTGAACTGTTCTTGGCGCAAAAATGAGATGGCATGAAAGCTTCTGAGAGCGACCAATTCTTGTTACTACACTGGTGATGAAAACATGGAAAAGCAAATAAAAGTTTAAAAGCAGGAAAATATGCACCTTGGTAACGAGGTGGTTTGGATATGCAAATAAGCCTGGTAATTCAACATTTCAGGGTGTCCCAAAAATGTGATATACTTTGCTTGAATCATTAGTTCACAATCATAATTTTATTTAGAAATGGGTCTTGCACATTTGCAATCATGCTGAAATTACGCCAATACATTCTTGCCGGCTTTAAACACCTAGGTAACTACGAAACCAATGGTAATAACATATTTAATCTTATTGAATGGTAGACAATTACCATGGTCATACTTGCGCGCATGCGCCGATAGTGGCTTACCACGGGGTAAACCAGCTGAAACTTTGCACAGTTACCTACGTAGTCAAGGCCAGTTAAGAGTTCCATGCAGGAAAGTTAAGCCTGTGTTTCCCAATTATTAGAGTCTAGAAAAGAATTTAAAAAAAGAGAGAATGATCAAATACACTACAAATACCTGACGCCGTATTCGAATTCTAGGCAGAAACTATGACTGCAACCTATCCTTAAACCTTAACTACATCTCGATGTTATCTTTCGCAATTCGATCAGTTTAATTCAATTCATTTTGCCCTTGGTGTTTCTTTCTTAATTTAATATTTCTATCACTATTCTTAGCAGCTATGTTCCCGCCAAAAAATCAGTGTCATAATATAAATTCGCAAATCGTGAGCAAGCTACCTCATCATCTCCCAAATCAGGCCCAGGCTCACTCGTCATCATCTTCCTTTTTTCCTCCTCCGAAAGCGTTGGTGTTCCTAACTCTTCGTCCTTGGCCTCTTTCCAATCATCGCCCAAATTGGGTGTTTCTGTTTGAATTAGACCAGTCTCTGCGGAAGATGCAGGCTCCATTTGTTGCTCTGCAAGGTCAATATACAAAATCGCTCAAATATCTGGTCGCAGATGGCATTAAATGCACCTGCATTAGGACTGCTAGAGTCTTCAAACAACTCAGGGCCCGGTTGGGCAACTTGGTCAAATTGGCTGTTCGCCGCACGCCAATTTCCACGTTTCCTCGGGCGTTCGTACGCCTAATATAAAAAGCTATGAAGAAAATTATGCATCCAATACAGCAGCGCAAACAATCTATATTAGACATTTGACCTCAAAATGGTCGAACACAAAAGACTACGTTAATACTAACAATAAGAAGTATATAGAGTGCGAATACCGTGCCATAATCCTCAATTTCGGTGAAGAAGGGAGCCTTCACGGGTGGATATTTGACAGCTTCCCAATCGGAAATTTGCTGAGATTCCTTCTCCAAAACATTCTTTCTATGGAAATTTCCAGCCTCTCTTGCTTTTGGTATACTATCGAATACTGATGAAGTTCCAAATGCTGAACCTCCTCCGCCAAATAATTCCTACAAATAAGGTGAACTTATCGATAAAGAACATATGAGAGATTTACAGAACCATCATTGCAGATGAAGTTTCCAAGCCCTTATTACGATGTCTTGACGGTGGTGGTGGTATTTCAGGCAGTACTGGTGGAATTGGTGAGGATTTCGCAGAACGGGCCGACGTAGGCTTAAGCGAACACTGACAATAGCAGGAAGCTATTATTTGCGAATATTTTTAGAGCGTTACCTGTGAGACAAAATGCGGCGATTTTGATTTGTTTCGGCTCGTAGGCCGAGAAAGGCT